CAAAACAGTGATCCTACAATGGGTTCCTGGTTCACTTGCTGACGCACTTTTTCAGAAGGGGACAGCAATTAAGCAAAGCATAGACCGGCCGATGTTTTCCACACCACGAACTGTTGTGTAATTTGAAATAATAAATCAAATAAAATGTGAGAATAGTTGGACCGCAACACAAGGGACAATTGTTTTGAATATTCCGCTGCTTTAATTCTTAAGGACATAATGTGAATGGCGAAGTAGACAAAAAATGTATATCATTAAAAATGAAATTCCGAGGCATCTTGTGTCGGAGACAAAGTGGTCAACATGCTCGTGTGTGCATGTGTGTATGTCTGCACGTCCGACAAATCAGTGTCCACCCAGTGGTGAAAGTGATCAAGAGTCCAGTTTTGCTTTGATCAACATGAGAGATGGTAGAATTGAAGGAGACTCTCCTTGGAGTAGTATGGACATGTCTTTCATGTGATTGAGTTCACTCGAGTGAACTTGAATTTATTTTTCTTTAAACGAGAGTCGACAGTGTGTTGAGTTTGCAAATTGCTCCTGAAATCCGAATTCCGTACAATCACTTTGAAAGATGTAGTTCAATCAAGTGGTGTCAAAGTAGATCTTAGGCGAATTTTGAGTTGAACATTTTGTTGTGTAGAAATATTGATGAAGTGATTGAAAATTTTCACTTATTGATCCGTTCACTCCTCGAGAAATGCCATACCGAAATTCCACAGCACCCAAAAAATTCATTTCAACTAGTCAGTTTAATTAGTCACTGTGTAATTCGAATTATTTATTTATTTCCATCCCCTGTTTACCAAATATTTATTTATATCAAATGGCAGGCGATGATAGCTATCATTAGCCCTTTAGCTGACTTCAGGCTTCAGAAATAGCAGTACATTTATTTATATCAAATGGCAGGCTTTATGGAAACAAAATTTATTTATTTATTTCCATCGGCAGGCATTTTGATAGTTATCATTAGCCCTTTAGTTGACTTCGGGCTTCACAGAAGGAAGGAACATCAAAGTGAGAAAAATTCGACAAGGGAAAAGAAGAGCTTTTCACAGATGTAAAAGAGACAGACAGATAGACGCAAAGGCAGAGAAAAGGCTAGATGAGTACATATTAGTGTGACTTGTTCAGTGTTCTGTCGATTTTAAACTGTGCTTCGATGGGAAAGAAAGTTAGTACACGTATTTTAAGTTTTTATTATTCGAAATAACAAATGTGAAAACATCATTGTTGAAGTGTTGAAATCTAAGAACCTTCCAACTTTACTGACGACGAAACTGTTTTAATCGAGTTTCATGGAACACAATGTTAGACATTTAAACTTTAGTCATTACTGTAAAGTATGTAATTATTAATTAAACTCTCGCTATTCTCAAATTAAAAGTATAGTTGCAGTGCGTAGATTTATCATAGTTATATTAATAGTAACATCGAATGACATTGATAAGGTTAAAGGTTTAACAAAATTGTGGAAAATGAAGTTGATCAACTTCATAATGACGACCTGCTGTGTAATTTGAAATAATAAATCAAATAAAATGTGAGAATAGTTGGACCGCAACACAAGGGACAATTGTTTTGAATATTCCGCTGCTTTAATTCTTAAGGACATAATGTGAATGACGAAGTAGACAAAGAATGTCTATCGTTTGAAATGAAATTCGGAGGCATCTTGTGTTGGAGGCGAAGTGATTAACGTGCTCGTGTGCATGTGTGTATGTCTGCACGTCCAACAAATCAATGTCCATCCAGTGGTGAAGGTGATCAAGAGTCCAGTTCTATTGTTATCATCAAGAGAGATGGTAGAATTGGCGACTCCCATGTGTAGTATGGGCATGTCTTTCATGTGGTTGAGTTCACTTGAGAGAACTATAATTTATTTTTATTAGATTAGGATTTGAGTGTTAGCAATTTTGAGCAGTTTGTGTAATAGTTTAGATGGATCAAATTTACACACTATTTGCCTACACATAACCTGAGTGCATGACATTGGCAGTTGGCACGATACCAAATTCTATAGACTTACTTTGAAAGGTATAGTTCAATCGAATAGTGTTAAATTTGAAGGTAGAATAAGATGAAGTTGAAGTTTGAATTATGCAGAAATATTGGTTTTGTGGTTGGAATTCTTCACTTACTCCTTCACTCAACCCCCGTAAAATTTAAAAATGAAATCCCAAACACCCATTAAATCAATGAGTTAGTTCAAAGAGAGAATCATTCAATGTTAAGGTGGTGGCGAACGAAATTGGTTTTGACAATGCCGTGAAGGCCGAGTAGATCATTTCAAATCGGTATGAATGAAATGGGATTACATTGGAAATCAGTAAATACTGATACGCCAATTCTACGTCATTAATAAAACTCCCACAACAAAGTAATGAATTTAATTACGCCATTTTATCCCAAATTTAGTAACTAGTTTAAGTGGATTTTCAAGTGGAAGGGCATGTATGGCCCCACGACTTTAAAGGAAAGAAAATTTTACAATAACTCTCTTACTACATGTATTAGGTTAGCTCACTGAGTACTGAAACGTCCGACATCAAGACTAGAAGTTGCTAACACTCCGAGAAGATTAGCACCAAAAAAGCCCCTCTAAGTCCAATTCAATTCCAATTGGTCAATGTGTAGTTAGGTTTTCATTTGGACTTAGTTGAAGACATAGTAGTGTAACTTGTACAATATTATGACGATTATAAATTGGGTTAAGATGGAAAAGAAATTTAGTGCACGAATTGTAAATTTTCTTGCTCGGATTTATTAACAGTGTAGAAATCCGAGAATGTTCCAACATGACCAACAGAGATAGAGTTTTCTTGCAGTATCCTGACACTCAGTCTTGAACATTGCAACTATAGTAATTAATATAAATAATGTAAATTTTACTTAAACCGTCGCTATTCCCAAATTTGTATTACTGCCCAAGAATAATAAGAACAAAGAGGAGACGAAGAAAAAGAACAATAAGAAGAAGAAGAAGAGGAGGTGGGGTGGTGGAGGAGGAGGAGTTAGAAGTGTTGCTTCGGCAGTAATTTTCATTTGATTGTGTGGACTGGATATGCACTAACTACCATTGAGACCTATAACACACTTCGTGCCACTTGGCATTTCCAAAAAAAGTATTCAGCAGTACATCTCTAATAAGTCCTGAATTTAGATATCCCGGTCATCGGAATGAAATCTATTGACAATGAAATAATGGAGAATAATACAGAACAAATCTACTTTCATAGTTCGCTAATAAATGGTTTACTTTCTTCGGATTACATGAATTCTATAAAAGTAAGGAGAGCTAATTAAAATGTATTTTATGGGTTTATTTGTGAGCGGAATTGGTCAGTTATGTTGATATTACTTTGCGTGATATTTGAGGAGGATTTCATAGGAACACTTTCAAGATAGGAGAGGAATATTGGGCAGGTGTAAGCACCCAACGATTGATTACAATTCTGATATCTTTCCATGAAGGACATGCTTTACCAATAGAGAATAGACAATCGAGACCTTCATCTATATGTGTGCGGGTACTTAAGTACTTAATAATATATAAGGTTACAACTAAGTCATTGCCGATTTCAAATAAGAAGGCAAATTCTAACTAAGTCATTGTCGATTTCAAATAAGAAGGCAAATTCGAAATTTTTTTTAAAGTATAACTTTTTTCAATTAGATATTGGCCGTTCTTGTCAATGACCTTTATCCATCGTTCTGGCAGAGTAAAAATTCCCCGTTCGTAAAATGTCTGGTCTCTGCTATTAAAAAACTGAATTAGGTGTGATCCGACATCATCCGCGTTGCTAAAAATTTTACCATTTAAAGAGTTTTGCATGGAACGAAACAAATGATAATCCGAAGGCGCAAGGTCAGGGCTATATGGTGGGTGTGACTAAACATCCCAGTATTATTATTGCTAGAATTCAATTCAAATCAGTGGATATTACTTTTGCGTGATATTTGAGGAGGATTTCATAGGAGCACTTTCAAGATAGGAGAGGAATATTGGGCAGGTGTAAGCACCCAACGATTGATTTCAATTCTGATATCTTTCCATGGAGGACATGCTTTACCAATAGAGAATGGACAATCTAGACCTTCTAATTATTCCTCAAAATTTTGAATTTATTTAGAAAAATAGCATTTGTTTGGTTGGCTCAATCTATATTCCGTTTTTTTTATTTATTCCGTTCTTAATCAATAATGTACTGTAGCGGATTGCTACCTTAGTAAAGCCTGACTGACTCAGAAATCTCTATGGCAAATTCTCCAACATCTAGCTAGACTCCCAGAACCAGCTAAGCTATAGCCCAGCTATAAAGGAAACAGACATGTAGCACGGAGCACGTTTATTCAATACGTATATCACGGATAAAGTGTTTACAGGAAGGAAACCAGTCATACAACATGGCGGATTTGATAAAACAAATGAGGGTCATTGAGCTGCTATTGGCTGCGTGCTCTTGTCCTCAATCAGTACGCGAAGTTGTACGGCCGCACCTCAAGCCTATGTGTACACGCATGCGATGACATGTCCCACAGTACTAAACTATTCCATTTCCCCATGTTTAATTAATTTAACAAATATAATTTTAATAAATATTTATTTGATCATTTAATTTTATTTTGCCTTAACATATAGGTTAGCGGTACACAAATTTCATCTATCTTTCTATTATTCATGAACATGAAATACATGAGACTTGCTTGCATGCAATTGCAATTTTGAAGACAAGATTTCGAGTAATTTAATATCATTTTATATCGCGACAATGTTGAGGACAATTTAGTTATTGAATTTTTGAATTTTGGACTATTGTTTGTGATGTGGCCATGTTAATGAGGAATTCAGTTGGGAGTTGCCTCTTTCGTGACGTTTATGCGAATTTGAACATGCAATAGCTCGGCGCCCTAATTCGTGTCTAAGGTATTTTGAATGGATCCATCAAAAAATCTGCTCCACACTTTCTGCACTTTCTCCAATCAAAGTGGAAAAGCTAATGATTATGAAATGATGTGGGCTGTGGCATGTTGACACCCACAAGGTGGTTGATTGTCAGCGAATTGGCATCACTAGCAAATAAGGCAGCGACTCCTCGTGTTTTCCATTGTGGAATGACTACTGCAATGCAGAGAAAGAAGAAGTAGCTCATGAGTTGTGGGCAGGGAGGTAAACCACAAGTGGTCCTCCTGAACTTGTCTTCACACAGTACATTCTCAGAGAGAAATTTGTGAAATTTCACATGACACCGGTATCCACCGTCACCAATTCCAAAGTTCGCCACAACGAGTCCACCGTGTCCTCCAAGATAACGTGCACATTCTCGACACACGGGTCTCATCCACTTTTATCTGAACTTCGTTACTCAATCAACTTCATGAAGTAATTTCCATTTTTGTAATTAAATTTTTATAAATAAATTACTGTGTTATTTCAATTTCATCTTTTTTATATGGTTTCAGCTCATCTATTTCAGACATACATTGTGGCAGAATTGGGGTTCCTCACCAATTATATGTCAGTGTGTTTGGAGTTCATCAGTCTGACCGACTACTCCAAGCTCATTTTGGTGATGATATCAGATGAGGTAGGATTCATAGTGTCCCTTGATCATGGTTTTTGATGGCAATGCATGAGGCACCAGCAAACACCATTCTGCCGTCAATCCGTCAAACAGTCAATCAATCAATGAATCGATCAACCGCACACATTATTCGGTCGAATCAATGAGATGGTGATCGACTAATTTAATTGGTACGCCGTCGGACCAATAACATATCAACCTGATTGGCAATTGTTGAGAAGATCCAATTGGATAAGCAATTCTAATTGTAGTAAGGAGGAGTAGAGAGCACTTGTATTGGTTATTTGAGGTGAAACACTTTGACCGAATTGGTATATAAATTGGGGTGTAAAGGTCAATCGTCATATTCTCATTTCTGGATGTGTGAAGAAGACGAATTGATGGAACCAGTGTGGGATACTAGTGGCCCGGATTGGGTATCCGTGCTTTTGCGAAGGACCAGGCTACTCGACAGAGAAGACGCTCGCAACAAAGTTGCAATCTCTACACACAAACTTCCACAAACTGCTCAATATTCTTCAAACGTCTCACTTTCCTCTTCTTATCCCCCAACTCAATGATTCATACCTAAAAGTTGTTGCACGATAAACTAGATGATAAATCTTCCACATTTGTATTCCCTTTTGTAAATATAATTCTCTGTTATTTGAATTTCTTTTATTGTTGATGTCTTTTATGTTATTTAATTAAAACGCATAGTGGCCGGACTGGAATTCCTCACCAATTAGTTTCAATTTTATGACCCTCCCCCCTAGTCTTGATTAGAAACACATAGTTATTTAATTTTTATATTTTGGCGTAAAGACTGACAGTTCTGAGTGAAACTTAATTATTTTAATGTAAATATACTCTTCTTCGTAGTATTGCTACAACTGAAGTGAGCTTAGAATACTGTCCTTCTCCTACTCATTCACCTGCAGTAGTCAAGAGTACTTCCTCACAACTCAGTCAATGTCGGTTCATATTCCCCATCAACTCTTACCATTTCTACACATGATGAATTCATAAATGCACTCCACTCTTATCGGCACATTTGAGGTCAATCTTAGAGTTGAATTAATTAGTGAAATGCAGCAGTAATAGAACAAATATAAATGGATTCGATACCCATCAGCATGTTGAATATTAATGGTTAACATAAATAACAGGGATCAAGTTGAGGTGAAAGAATTTGCCATTTAAGCTTAAGTGTCAGAATGCCAGCCTTTATAAGTTAGACCTTTGTTCACCTAATTAACCCACATAATCCAATAAAGCAAAAATTGACCTCAATATTACTTAGTTCAATGACCTCAATTTCAGCTCTCTTTTATAACTTAACATTCATTATGCATTCAATGTGGTAATAAACCTACAATGCTAAACTTATGGAAAGAATGGTTAACAGGAGGCTGACCTGGTTCCTTGAGACTAACAATATTCTTAGGAGTGAACAAACAGGTTTTAGGCCACAAAGATCAACGAACCAACAAGTAGCCACTCTCTCCCAACACATCAAGGATGCCCTTGATGCAAGAAATACCCTTACGGCTGTTTTCGTCGATTTCAAATCAGCATATGACTTAGTATGGAAAGAGAAGCTAATTCTAAAATTGGCAAAGATTGGTATTAAGCATAACATGCTAAACTGGATAGAAGCATTCATTGGACAAAGATCGTGTAAAGTCAGATATGGAAATGCTCTATCAAAATCCAATCTTTTGCTAACAGGTCTTCCACAGTGAGCTGTCACAAGCTGCACTCTTTTCAATGCCTTCATCAATGACATAGCCGAATTGGTACAGACAGTCACGGGCATCAAGTGCTTACTTTATGCAGATGATCTTGTTCTATGGTATTCCGCCCCTAATAAAAACGCTCAGGAGAGGACAGAAAGTGCTCTTAATAGTGCCCTTAAACTACTAGCAAACTGGTGCGACGACAATGGAATAGTATTTAACACCGCAAAACTGCATTCCAAACATTTTCTTTGGCCCATCAGAGCATAAACCCGCTCTTAAGGTACAAGGATATTACCCTAGAAAAAACCAATGAGTTCACTTATCTCGGAATGACGTTTGACACAAAGCTAACGTGGATAAGTCACATTGCTAAAATAGCAGAACGCGTCTCCAATAGGCTGAATGTCCTGAAGCGTCTTGCTGGTAGCGTATGGAGCTGTGCGCGCTCAACTCTAAACACCACTTACAAGATGTTTATTCAGCCAATAATGTTGTATTGCTGTGAGCCACTCATTACAGCCACAGAGGTGACTCTCAAACCACTTGAGAAGGCACACAACCAAGCATTACGACTAATTACTGGAGGGATAAAATCAACACCCATTGATGCAATGTTCCAAGTTACAGGAAACACCACAATAGGCTCCCTTATCAAAGAGAAGGCCTTGATCCTGTATGAGAAACTACTGCGCATTCCCATGGACCAGTTCTTCAGCACCTATGAGAATAGACCNTCCAAGTCTTCACTGATGGGTCATACACAGAAAACCAAGCAAACGTTGGTGCAGGTGTCTATTCTGAACTCTTCTCTTTCTACGCAGCAGCGGGACATAATAGATCCGCTTTTGAAGGAGAAATAGAGGCCATTATTATAGCACTACGCCAATTATGTTGCCTGGATACGAAATTCACCAAAGCGGTGATACTTTCGGACTCACAGTCAGCAATAAACTCTATTGGAAACAGAGAGACACCCAAAACAGCTGAGATAAAGGAATGTAGAAAACTCTATGAGCTGCTGAGAGAGAAAAACAAAACAGTGGTCCTGCAATGGATTCCTGGTCACTGTGGCATTAAAGGCAATGAGATTGCTGACACACTTGCTAAGAAGGGGACAACGATTTTGCAATGCACGGATCGGCCCATGTCTTTCCACACAATGAAGGCATTCATCAGGAGAGAATTCCAGACCTCAAGGTACAACGAACTCAAAGCTCGAACAAAGGAGAAACAGTGGACAGTGGCACTGGCCAAGAATCGAAGCCGTTGCTGAGTTTAGACTACGTACCGGACACGATTGCTTGGCAAAACACCTTCACAGATTGGGAGTATACACTCAACCCACATGCCCTCTATGTAACCCACAGGAGAAAATGGAGAAGACCCACCTGATTCGGTGTCCAGCTCTAAATACAAGGACGGAAAGCCAAAGATACTGGGAAGCAAGAAGACTGCTAATGAACTGGTATTAATTAACTGCTATAAATGTACCCCCCCCCTTCTCTTGGGGGAAGCTGAAGTCAAAGATTAAGGGCCTGCCATTTGAAATAAATAAATAAATACATTCATTATGTATTCAATGTGGTAACGAACCTTCCGAATTCCATATAAGTAAGTAAAAATCAAATCAAGACTAGCTAGGAGGGTGATAGAATTGAATCTAGTTTGTGAGGAACACCAGTCCGGCCCACTATGTGTTTTAACTAAATGACCTAAAAGGCATCAACAATAGAGAAAATGCAAATAAACGAGAAATTTATTTTCAAAGGGGAATGCGAATGGAGTAATTATATAACAAAGTTGATCGAGCAACAAATTCTAGATATGATTCAGTGAGTCTTGTGTGGCGAGATTGTGTTCGCCGTCGTGGTGGCCTCTTTATCCGTGATGGCGGAAACTGGGACTGTCTGGATGGATCTGCTTCTTCATGAATCTTCCCTACGGCTTCCCTCAACTGCTGAGCCACGGCTTCCTTCTCCGCATTGTAGTAGTCGTTCCACAATGCAAATAGCCGAGGAGGCTCCGAAGACTGCTTTTGTTAATGTTGTGTCGTCGTTGCCCTTGTTGCCAATGTTGGCGATTGATGTCGACTCAACCGCCTAGATGCAGACAAACAAACAAGATTGCTACCGGAATTTGGCCGACATATGGATCTACTAGGATAATGCATTAGTTGTAGACACTGATTTAAATTATTTAAATGCATTACTTATGAATTATTGTGTTAAATTACGAAAAGATAATCATATTTGATGGAAATAAATGGTAGTTAAATAAAAGACCGATTTCATTGTTGAACAAAGTTTCGAACGTAATATTAATGCTATAATCAGATTCTTATTGTCACTCTAAGGCACTTGAATCGAAATGAATACTTTCTCCAAAGTTTGTTTTTCAGCATTAATTATAAAGTTAAAATGGGTTAACTACATAAATTCATCTCCCTAAGTATAACCACTAATCTTAAAGACATGAAGGAACAATGTCTTATGGTAGAGCCTAGTATGTTCAAAATAGACGAGAAAAATTAACAAACATTCTGATCGAATCTTTGAGCTTTAAAGCTTAAAGTCCACAATTGCGCGCAAGCTTCAATGTAAAATCATATTAATTGTCCGGACATAGAAGACGTAGGGTGGCCAACTTTTGTAGTTATGTGGGTCCCGTATCCCAAATATACTATTGATTTTTAAACTTAGGGGCTGTCGAGTTTGTGCTTACGTGATCTTGTCATCTAAGGTTCTCATTGTTACTGTACTTTGTAACCAGACCACAAGTGATCTATGGTGGAGTGAGTTTGGGGTTTGAGAGAAGTAATTTTCACCTCCCAACTAAGAGATCGAAAAATCGGTCACAGTAGCAAACTCTCACCTATCAATTACACAATTTAAGTTTTAAGGCACTTTCTTCTCATAACTATATATCAAATCTAGCCATTGCGACAAAGTTTACGAAGTGTCATTAAGGAAGCTGATGATACGAGCAGCGTGAATTTGTCAGTCGTCAAAACAAGGCGAATGGTGGAGGTTTTGCTAAAGTCAAAATGCGTCAATTCTCATCAAAATTAAGCACTTGGAGGAATCCCCTTGCTATGCGTGGTAAAGTTACCATTCCACTTGGCTGGAGTGAAGACATATAGTATTCTAAACCACCAATGTTGTGAAACTCACATCCTTACACTTGGCTACGATTAAGCAATGACGAAAGCGATTATCAACACATATTTCTGAGTGGGAAACATAAACACAAACTATTGAACAACTCGAGTTTTCTGATTTCTTTACTGCCTTCATTTGACAGGTACGAAAGGTCTTTTCAATCAACCAGTCCAAATCGATGCTCATTTTCTAAAATTGCTCATTCTTAAACACCCTAAGGAGCCCATTCACTGTCTCAACTCATTTTAATAGGACAACTTTTGTCAAAATTCGAATTGCAACAAACTGATCTGCATGGTTCACTGCTTTGAGGTAGCAATTCAACAATATTTTAAATTAACACCTCTCTTCAATAAGACTGATAAGCTGCATTTGGAATTCCAAAGATTGATTATGTCTCGAGGATGGAATATCAAGGCAATTCAGTAATCACAGTTCGATTTTTTTAGTAAACCCCCCCCCCTTCCCGGTATTTTGTTACTTTGATGATTCTTCTCTCTGTGAAGCCCGAAGGCAGCTAAACGTTTAATGGTAATTATCAAAACGCCTGACATCTGAGACTAACATTTTAGCAGTAGACCTTACAGTGTCGCTTCCAATCCAATTAGTGCACACAAACAGTGAGCTGAAGAGAGAGAAGAGTACTATTTACTTCTATGCTTGCCAATATTCGGTCATGCAGTCGCATTTAACTTGAGCAATTTACGTTTGTGAAGATAGGTTACACTATCAAGTTCTAAATCATTCCTGGTACTCCCCAATGAACCTAAACAATATCGAGATCACTCAACTATGTCGTGAACTAGTTTATACGGGATGTGTGTGTCTGTCACAGAGATTGGTTATCGAATTGCAATGCCATGGATGTAGATTGGTGGTTGGCTGTTTGGTCTGTGCACTCACGACCGCACTCACTTCTAACGCGACAATAGTCATTTAGGCGTGGGACATGAGAGTGGCCAATCGAATCTCGGACGCATTGCAGTAAACCAAGCACAATACTGTCTAAGCGGAAGGGCACATTGCAAACATACTGGTTCAGTGCGCGAAGGTAGGAAGTGAGGTCGTTAATTGTACTCCCCCTGTAGAAAAGATGGTCTCGGATACCAGAGAGTTATTCAACCAACTTCGACAAAGTGGTCATTTAATTGATTTACACATTATCGTGAGTTCGTTTTGCGTATCTTAACATCTGTAAATATTGATTGATAGACGAAGGAGGACTACGAGATTCCAGCTCATCGATCGCTCCTTGGTGCCCATTTCCCCAAAATAATGAGCCAATTAGAGCGGAATCAAGATCCGACCATGAAATGGCACCGTTTTTCTACTGAGTACATCAAATATAATTCTTTTATTAATAACTGGTTCATTTCAGCCTTGTTGTATCGGTGATAGACTTCGCCTACACAGGCAAAATCGATATTAACTTGGAGAATGTGAGTCAGCTTTACTTATTGGCACTTCATCTTGGATCCCGTTCTCTAATCGATTTGTGTTGGAACTTTTTGGAAGAGAGGTATGTGATTGCCAATTACACTTTATATGTGCTGTTCCATAAGGTTTTACGGTATGCACACAAAAGCTCTTCATATTGATAAGAACCGAAAACCGAATGTTAATTGGCAACTTCATTGGTAGTTAAAACATTCCGTGGAGAGAGAGTGAGTGAGAGTACGTCATCTTATAGAATTGATGTCTTAACAAGTGAGCAAGATGAAGACGGTTCCACTACGAACGAAAAGATACGTTGTCGATTAAGAAATATATGAGCAATACAAAAGAGGTGGACACAGGAAGAAAGAAGCATAAGACGAGGCGGGAAACGGAAGTGCATGAAGGCGTCAGTAGTGAGTGGAGGTACTTTGCGTTGTGGAAGGCAGGATTAATTGAAGTGTCTTGAAACGTTTGAGAGATTCAATCTCATGTGGTATTTGACTGGCAACCGCCTAATTATGTGAATGTACATTCACGAACGTAGAGTTGACGGGCTAGCCTATGCTTTGTTGTTTTAGCTTGATTCTTGACTTTTTCTTCCTCTGTTGTTTAGATTCGATGAAATGAATGTGAATGAGATTTGGGTGATTAGCTCTATTCTAGCCAATAATGAATTGAGGGAAAGATGTATTATCAAGATCGCACGTGATTTCGATTCATTCGCCAAAGATCAGAGGTGTCTAAGGTGGACTACCGCGAAGGACATGGAGATACTTCTGAGTAGCCCCTGGTTGTGGGCCCCAAATGAGGAAGTGAGGTTGGAAGCAATGGTGTCATGGGTAAAAGCAGCACCCTCATCGTGTGAAAGGGACACCCGTGAGGTATTCTTCAGTCACCTTCTCTCAACGGTACATGTCAGCAATCATTCCCGTCTCTCTTGCGATATATTAGTCAAAGATTTTTCAATTGAGTCAAGGTATTTGATACAAGTTATGCATAATTTATTTAGACGTGCAATTCACGCATACTGGTGTTATAATGCTAAGGAAAAGAGGTGAGAATATTTTGTATCGAGCTATTTAATGCCTACATTGATTAAAAATTTATGCATTTCACAGAATGAGGGACAGAATTTTTATTTATGGAGATGGCGTAAGCATCGAAATGCCTTTTCTATCATCAGCGCCAAAATTGAAGGTTTTCAAAATGCCTAACAGAAAGGATATCTGCACAGTTGTCTGTGATGGTAAGTTGATTGTTCAACATCGTATTTTTAGGCCAACACTACACGATCTCAACTTTCATCTATTCTTCATTTTAGAATATATTTATGTGATTGGAGGTAGGACAAGGGAAGGGTCCGCTTGTCCCAGTGTCTTCAAGGTGAATCCTTGCAATGGCGATGGGACAGAGAGAGATTCAATGGCAGAGGGAAGATATTCGGCTTCAGCAGTTACTGTCGGCCATGAAATTTTTGTTTTTGGGGGTGGAAACAATAGGGGAGTACTTGCCACCTGTGAAAAGTATTCTCCGTCGAAAGATAAGTATGTGCTGCTTTCTTACACCATGTTTAACAGTTCAAAATATCATTCGGGGTATTGATTGACTCTAGGTGAACCTATCATTAGCGTCCCGCCGGCGCCTGTAAGAGACAAATTTTGGCCTTCAAATTCTCTATTTTTATATCATTCAAATTTGAACTGAAATTAAAAAGTAACCATCATCACGTGTTTTTGAGAAAGCCTGATGTATTGTTCAAGTTGAACTAGGCGAATCTCTAGACGCTTTTCTTCAACATAACATTAATTTCTTAATAAAAACATAATTGCAATGAGATTAAATATTTATTACTTTCACATTTGTTCAAATTAAGTTGATTGTTCCAAGGTCATTATAGCCATTTTGCCTATTGCAGATGGGTAGCACTTCCTACTATGCCCACAGCAAGACAGCAAAGTGAAGCGGTACACGTGCCGGGTCTTGGAGTTTTAGTCCTTGGAGGGTACGTCAATGGTAGATATTCAACATTGAATACAGTCGAATTGTTTCCAAGTTCTGAAAAAAGTCCAACTTGGTGCACAGTCGCACCAATGTTGAAACCAAGGACCTCCCCTGCAGCGGCTTTCTTCAAGGGGTGCATTTATGTGGCCGGTGGTTCGAGTACACAAGTAGAGACTGCAGAGTTTCTTTCCTTCACTGATGGCATACCAGATCAATGGACGTTAATTCCTCAAACCTTTCCTTTTGATGACGGTTTATGTTCAATGTTGGCTGTGAGTGATCATCTCTAAGTTGGAAGTAAGTTTTTTATATATTTCTATGTTGCTCTCAAAAGCCTTCACCAACTCCCCCAAATTTAATTTTAAAGCCACTAAAGGAGGAAATATTTATGAACTGGAAACGCCTCAAGGTGAAGACGTGAGTGCAATTACACCTCATTTAATGTTTGTCTGTAACTCAATCACTGTTGAAATGTGTGCACCTATTGCAGGGTAGGAATCAAAGTGGATACAGTTGGAAACTTCGATTTCACGTGCAAAATAGAAAAAATCTTCGTCTTCTAAAAGTCCAAATGAACGCCTAATCGCTCACATATTACTCCACTTTCGGTTTTAGTTAAATAGACTTTATTCCCTCAAAAATTATTGTTCTAACATTTACAGCTTTATATTCAGTATTTTTTTCAAGCTTCCAATTACAATAACGTTAATGGGACCTTCCCATATCAGAGACCACATATTACGATCAAGGCAGACATTAAGCATAAAAAACGGTTTCATTTAATCTGCCAGTGTTAATCCATCTAGACGATAAATGCTCATGAGTATCAATCACTTTCCAAATTGAATCGAAAGGAGGAATTAGTTGATGTTTATAGAATAATAATAATAAAGTTCCTCAGTTCCTCAGGGTTTAAGACCCGAACACTCAATAGTGTTTAGCCCAGCCACAGGAAATAGGTTTCATTGCACATCGGATTATAATATTGGTGATACAGTTGCTTAGATTGTCATGATGGTTAGAATTGCATGTGTCATACATTTGGATTTGATGGTAATATTAGCAATGACTAATTTGTGACCCTATCCAGGATTGTCATTTGTTTTGCGTTGTGTGAGTTCGCTGATTACGCTTGAAACAAGGAGTAAGTTGGAGGATGTTCTGGCATCATTGTTGTGAAGGTAAGTAGCAGGAGCCTTATCGCTGTAAATAAGTTCTTTAGGGCTGCTGTTAAGAAAGTCTTCAATTTCCCTCCCAATCTGTTGGAATGGGTGTTGACGCCTCAGACATCTATTAATTGGTGTGAGATGCTAAGGAAAACGATGTTGGTACTATTCTATTAATTAGATTAAAGACCGCGTCCATCTTGAAGTGGTTTTAACTTTAACATATTATTTAGTCTGATTATTTGGCATATGTTCAACATTGAGTCCATGCTCCTGGTTATGTAGTTAAGTGGTGTGAGATCCCCATCAACTCCAGTCAATGTTCCACATGCTGCATGCCAGCCTTTGAGCAGCTGACATAAAATATAACCTTTGAATTGATAATTTGTGAGCCTAACACTCGTAAAGTTTTATTCAGTGATTGTAAATATTCCTTAATCATAGGTATGGAGGATATTCTGGATTTGAATCAATTTGTCTTGTAACATCCATACAGTATTCCACTGAAGGATCCGCAGAAGTTGTGACTAACCCTGAGAAGGGCGATTTCTCCTCTTGGAGTTTTGATTCAGTCTGGTCATTATAGTTTGAAGACGACGACTTTTGTGTCGTATGGGTATACTTTGTCCAGAGTGCACCACGTGGATTTGAGTCTATGCCTCACCTCTTACAAGCGAAAAGCGGTGAGGTTAAGGAGGTAAAAGGGAGCATAAGATGTGAAAGGATTTGGAAGAGAGAAGAAAGCGAGAGTAGTGAGTGGAGGCAACTTAAATTTTGGTAAGCAGGACTAAATGAAGAGTGTTGAGACGGTTGACAGATTTTCTCTCATAGAGTCGTTAATACGCAACTGACAAGGCATGCATATATACCTTCAGTAAGATGCAGTTGACTACCTCACACAAACGTTACGAGTTCTTAAAATTCTTTATTTTCGATCAAATCAATGGCAATGAAATTTGGATGATTAGCACTTTTCAAAGCAATCATGGCTTAAGGGACCAGAGTATTATCATGATTGCGCGTGATTTCGATTCTTTCGTCAAAGATCAGAAGTGTCTGAGGTGGACAAACGTGAGAGACATGGAGACACTTCTAAGTAGCCCCTGGCTATGGGCACCAAGTGAGGACTCGAGGTTTAGAGCAATGGTGTCATGGATAAACGCAGCACCAACGTCTTGTGAAAGGGACACCCGTAATACATTCTTCAGTCAACTTCTCTCAACGTTAAATGTCAACAAACTTTCCCGTTCCCTTATCATTGAAGTAGCAAAGGGGGCGTCAAACATCACCCTTTCGGACAGGTCAAGGTACACGATGCAATTTAACTTATGTTTAATTATCTTAAGAAACGCACTTCTTGATAGCTGGGAAACTTGTGATAAATGTGGCAAAAATATGTGTTTTTTATGTCACTGTCACTATTGATTGCAAGTTATTGGATTTCATAGAAAGAGGGAAAGAATATTTGTTTATGGTGTTTACTTTCGACAAGGCACATATTTACTATCAGCTGTTCCAAAAGTTAAGGACATTGAAGCAATGTTTGAGGTACCTTATAGAAAGGACACCTGTACAGTTGCCTGTGATGGTAAATTGACATTTCATCACTGTGTTTTGTGCCAACACTGCACGATTCTTACATTGATCTTCCTTCGTTTTAGAATATATTTTTGTGATTGGAGGTATTACAAAGGAAGGCGCTATTTGTTCCAATGCCTTTAAGGTCAATTCCTGCTATGGCGAAGTGAAGGAAATTGAATCCACGTCTCGTGGTAGATATTCGGCTTCGCCAGTTACTGTTGTCCATGAAATACATGTTTTTAGTGGACGAAACAAGGTTGATCCATTTTCTGACAGTCTTACACATTGTAAGAAATATTCACCTTCAGATGATAGGTAAGTATTTCTTGTTTCCATTATGATGAACTGTTCGAAATGTCATGAAGTGACTGTTGTTTGTCATTGATAAAGTTGTTTGAGAAGGCATCATCTATTTCTAGCCTCCAAATTGTGAAAAAATGTCTTTTGGGACTTGTCACTTCAAACCCGAGGTCATAATTTTACCTTGTACTCCCGCATGTCTTCTGTGATTTGGACAGAATAATTGCTCCAAAGATATAAAAATCAACTCAGAATTCTAATTCACACTGATTTGCCTTGGTCACCACATCTAGCAGAAGTTGAATTGATGCCACCATTATAATTATCTGAGAAAGCGAAATATTGTGTGAAGGTGGAAAAAACGAATACTCCAAAACTCTCACCATATTTCACAAATTCTAATATGCCAATAATATTTCAATATCACTGCTGTAACACTCCACTAATAATTATCATAACAATTGAATTATTAGTTTTGATGTCAGTTAAACCAATTTGCACGTTTCAGATGGGTGAAAATTCCCAAGATGCCAACTGGCAGACATGGAAGTAGAGCAGGTCATGGGCCAGATCTTGGAGCATTAGTTCTTGGTAGAAAAGTGAAAGAATGTACAATTGCTTTGCATGAGTGGGAAGATAAGGAGATGACCTCGAGAACAGTCGACCTGTTTTAAAGTTCTGAAACCAAACCAACTTGGTCCTCATTCACTCAAGGGCCTACCTCGCAGTAGAATACTTCAAGGGACGTGTTTACGCTGCCAGTTGGTCAAGTACAGACACACTCACTGTAGAGGTTCTATCCATAACTGATGGCCGAACAGGTCATTGGACATTGATTCTAGAATCATTTCCTTTGAAGTCCGTATATTTTCAATGATGGCAGTGAGTAACTATCTCTATGTCGGAAGTAAGTGTTTGCATACTTTTGTTTTGACCTAAAAAGAGAATACCTCCTACCTCACAGTTAATGCTTAAAACAGTTAAAGGTGGAAATATTTACGAACTGAAAACTCCAAATGAAGAAAGCGTGAGTGCAATCACATCTCATTCAATACTTAACTCAGAATCAATAACTGTTGTAGGATGGGAAACCAAATGTCTACAGTTGGAGACATCTATTTCGAGTGCAATGCGGATTCGATCTACGGCTTCTAAAAGTACTTATGAACGATTAATCACTCATAAATAACACCATCTATCAAATAAAGCCTAGAGAAATGTATTTCTTCCAGTTTATTTAATCGCTATGCAAAATGTAAAGTTCCTAAACGTACGGCTTTAAATCATTTTTAAGTTTTCCTTTTCAAATAAAAAATCAATTTTCCTTTCCACGTTAAACATACGGCAGTTCAATTTCAATTGATAGTTCAAATTTAAAAGTAAACATCTTTTCCCTAAAATTGTGGGCAACCCATTAGAAACGAATAAATTTTTTTCCATTCAATGTTTTTCCCTTGATTATATCGATGTCTTTACTGAATAAAGGAATCTCGTACACTTTACAAAAGTGTCTCCTCGTGGATGTTTGGGAAAAAATCGTTGCCTACTCTAAAT